ATATCATTGAGCTATAAAATATGTTAATTAAAACTATCTTTAGATAGATTTGAGGAAAAAACCTGAATTAAAAAAATTGTTTTTAAATAATCGATTTTTAGCCACTCTGTCTTTTCTGCACCCTCTCCAATTTTTCAACATCCTTTTAAAATTCAGACTATATGCAATGCATTATACTAGTATCAGTCTGACCAATGCCATTTACACAAGTAAAAATCACCTCCCTAATTCTACTCCCCTAGCTATACATCCAAGGATTGGAATAGCCCTTTCTGCCACCTCATCAAACTGGGACCTCATGTTGAGTTGCTTGTCCACAGTGATCCCTAAACCCTTTCCAGTCACTGCTTTCCAGAGTAAAATCCCCCATTCTGTAGGTATGGCCTGCATTCCTTACCTAGATGTATCACTTTGCATTTGGCTATATTAAAACATTTTTAATGGGTTCAGATTACCAAACCATCCAGATTATTCTGCATAACTACCCTGTTGTCATCATTTACCATTCCACCAAGCTTTTGTCATCCACAAATTTTATTAGCAATGATTTTATATTTACTTCAAGATTACTGGTGAAAATGTTGAATAGCTTTCCTGAAGAACCCCACTAGAAACATCCCCATTCATTTATGAATCCCCCTACTTTGAGATATCAGTTAGTCAGTTCTTTCAGTTTAATATATGCTGTTATATTGTATTATAGTGCTAGCTTGTAAAATCAGAATGTTACGGTAATAAGTCAAATCTCACAAATCTACATATTAGTTACCTTTATCATTCTGTAACAAGTTGCAGTCAGTGCCTCCTGCTGGTTGCTCCAGGAATTAGCTCTGTCCAGCTATGGAGTGCCCTCTGCAGGTGGTGTCTCACCCGTTGTCTGCTCTGCTGTGTGTCTGGGACCCGCATTGCTCCCTGGTTTGCGGCATCCTCTTCTGGACACAGTCCTCCGGCTGTGCCCCACTCGGTTCTTGCCCCTTCTGGGGGTATCCAGAGTCGTCAGTCTTCACCTGCTCTCGTGGCCCACTGCAGCACCAAAGTCTAACCCCTTGCCTCAGGGGAAAGCCACAGTCTGTATTGGGCCACATTCCTCCACAGCCGGGTGCAGTGTAAGGGAGGAGGTGGTGGGACCCAAGCCTGCCCACTAACCTGGGTCCTAGCCCAGGGACCCTCTGGCAATAGCCATGTCCTGCCTTCCTTCTCTCCCCTCTATTGCTCACACCCCTGGGCCACTTTCCTTTGGCCCTTTCTTTCAGGGGTCTCACCCCAGCAGGTATCAGGCTGGAGCTTTTCCTCTGTTCCCCTGAGCCTGCCCAGCACTGCTCTATCTAAGCTCCTTCACGGAGCCATGAGCACGGGGGTGTACTTGGCGCAGTTTACCCCTCTCCCAGACACCTGCCCCTCTTGCGGCGTGAGGGAAACCCTGGCGCATATTTACCTAGCGTGTGCCAGGCTGCAGCCCCTATTCCGACTCCTCAAGGATATTTTGTTATGATTTTGGTTGCACTTTTCTAGCCTGAGTTAATGTCCATGAAACACCCACGGTGATCCACAAGCACCTGGAGAACCATTGAGAAATATCCTTTGCAATTAATGTACTCGGTGGCTAGGTGGTCTGGTGTCAATTGGAATGTGCATGCTATCTATTCCCCCTCTGCAGTTAGGGAAGCCCATTTGTGGAAAGCCATCCACAATGTCACGCACGTTGCCCAGAGTCACGGTTTTTCGGCGTAGGATGCGATTAATGGCCTTGCACACTTCTATCAATATGCCTCCAACGGTCAACTTTCCCGCTCCAAACTGGTTAGCAACTGATCGATAGCAGTCTGGAGTAGCCAGCTTCCACAGTGCAATCGCCACATGCTTCTCTAGCGACAGGGCAGCTCTCATTCTTGTGTCCTTGCACCAGAGCGAGCTCATCACACAGTCCCATGAATGTGGCTTTCCTCATGCGAAAGTTCTGCAGCCACTGCTCATCATCCCAGATATGCATCACAATGTGATCCCACCACTCAGTGCTTGTTTCCCGAGTCCAAAAGCGGCGTTCCACTGTGGTCAGCACCTCCATAAATGCCACAAGCAATCTCATGTCGTACCTAGTATGTGTGGCGAGATCAACGTTGCACTCCTCTTGCCTTTGTAGTTTAAGGAATAACTCCACTGCCACTTGTGACGTGTTGGTCAGAGCGAGCAGCATACTGGTCAGCAGTTCAGGATTCATTCCTGCAGCCCGAAGATGCAGGGCGCACAGTACACAAACTGTTGAAAGATGGTGCCAAATGCGGACGGAAGCACAGTGATTGCTGGGATGCAAAGCAATGCATCATGGGGCATTGGGACAAGACCCAGGATACCCCGTGACCCCCACTCCCACCTTCCCACAAGTCTTAGTGGCAAAAGAGAAAGAAGTGCTCTGTGGGATAGCTGCCCAGAATGCATTGCTCCAAATACCACTGCAAGTGCCACAAGTGTATACATGCTATTGTGCAGGCAGCTGTCAGTGTGAACACACAACAATGGTTTTCCTTCTGTGCTCTCTGAGCGGTGCTATAACTGCCAGTACTGTAACTTTGCCAGTGTAGATGTGCCCTCAGTGCTTGCCTATACTTAGAGTGGTGCAACTGCGCTGCCGTAGTGCTTAGTGAAGATGCTATCTACACAGAGGGGGGGAGGGATAGCTCAGTGGTTTGAGCACTGGCCTGCTAAACCCAGGGTTGTGAGTTCAATCCTTGAGGGGGCCACTTGGGGATCTGGGGCAAAATCAGTACTTGGTCCTGCTAGTGAAGGCAGGGGGCTGGACTCAATGACCTTTCAAGGTCCCGTCCAGTTCTAGGAGATGGGATATCTCCATTAATTATTTTTATAGCTTCCCCTGTCAGTGTAGGTACTTCATCTACTGAAAGGCAGAAGCTATATTAATGGGAGAAGTCCTCCCATCTACACAGAGATGTCTACACCAGGGGTTAGATCAGTATAGCTATGTCACTCAGAGAATTTTCCACACCCCTGAGCAACATAGTTATACTGACATAAGTTGTCAACGCAGACCAAGCCTCAGTTGAACCTGCACTACAGCATCTAGCTTTTTAGCATTTTTGGAAAAGTTCATCTCCTCCAAACAGCACATGTAGCTCTTACCACTTTTAGAGCTTCAAACCACAGAAGAAAGATAACCAAGTCTTGCTTGCAATGTTGTTGTAGTTGTGTTGGTCCCAGAATACTAGACACACAACGTGGGTGAGATAATATCTTTTATTGGACCAACTTCTGTTGGTGAGAGAGACAAGCTTTTGAGCTACACAGAGGAGCTCTGTATAAGCTGGAAGGCTTTGCACTTTCACCAGCAGAAGTGATAAATGATATTATCTCACCCACCTTTTCTCTCTCCCATCCAATTCTTGCCACAGTCAGATGAGTCAAGTTATTACCCCCATTTTACAGACACAGATTTTATGCCCCTTTTCCAAGCCACACACAAAGTGGAGGTTTCAGAGTAGCAGCTGTGTTAGTCTGTATCTGCAAAAAGAACAGGAGTACTTGTGGCACCTTAGAGACTAACAAATTTATTTGAGCATAAGCTTTGGTGGGTTTCTTAGCTGTGGTCAAGTGTAGGTAGTCTCTTGGTCTATCCAAGGCTGTGATCAAGTGTCTTGATGTTTTTGGTCTTTTGGCCTCGAGATGAAAACCTTGTCTTTGTTTCTTGGACCTTGAAGTGAAAAAATTCTCTAAGTTATATATGTTCCATTCTATGCATCCAATGAAGTGGGCTGTAGCCCACGAAACCTTATGCTCAAATACATTTGTTAGTCTCTCAGGGCAGGTCTTCACTACGGGGTGGGGGGGGAGTCGATTTAAGATACGCAAATTCAGCTACGCGAATAGCGTAGCTGAATTCGACCTATCAGAACCGACTTACCCCGCTGTGAGGACGGCGGCAAAATCGACCTCCGCGGCTCCCCGTCGATGGCGCTTACTTCTACCTCCGCTGGTGGAGTGAGAGCGTCGATTTGGGGATCGATTGTCGTGTCCCGACGAGATGTGATAATTTGATCCCCGAGAGATTGATTTCTACCCGCCGATTCAGGCGGGTAGTGTAGACCTAGCCTAAGGTGCCACCACGTACTCCTGTTCTTTTTGAGAACGTGGAAGGTAGCCTAGGCTTAGCCCTCAGGAGCTCCAACTACGAACGCTATGGTGCTCATTCCCGCAGAGCAGCGAGATCACAGAGATGGTGTCACATGGGACAATAAACTGGAAACCCCCTATTTTTTCAAGTGACCAGTGACTCGGGGGGCTGCAGGGACACGCACACAGCACGACACCAACAGAGCCTCGAGATCCAGCCTAGGGCACTCAGTACCTGCTGGAAACCGGCACCCTGCGAGGGGCCTCGAGCTGTTGCTTGACTATGGTGCCATCACAGCCGGTGTAACGTCTAAAACGGGCAGCAGCTACCGACGGGAGTGATGTGTGACTCTTTTAGCAGCCGTCCCACATTTTGCTACCTCTCGCCTCTCCCATCATTTGGCCGCCCCATGACGGCGTCACTAACAGCCCGACACCTCAGGTCGCTGTGACTCGGAGCTGGGGGGCTGCTGGGGATTTGTTGCCCATCTGCACCCCCAATGCCGGGGGACAGGTCCGGCAGCGGAAGGGATCAACGAGTCCCTAGGCCGGACTCGCCACTGCGCGCGCACCTCCCTCGGCTTAGCTGGGCCCAGCCTGGTCAGCCCCAGCGCCGGGCAGAGCCTCGCTCCCAGCCCGTCTCTGCCCCACCCCCACAGAAATGAGCGGCAAACCCCCTCCCGCGAGCGTTTTCGTGACGTCATTCATCCGCGCCGCCACCGCCGCCGCCATTCGCCTTTGCTGCTAGTTCCGGAGTCGCTGACAGTAGGAGGGTTTCCCTCGAGGGCGGAAAGCTTCGCTCACGTGCCAGGCGGACTGCGCGCGGATTGGCGGAGGGCGCCTCAGCCGGTGTCACGCATGCGCGCGGCTGGGGTGCGCGCGGAAGAGGTTCCGGTACTAGCTTCCTTTCCCCCTTTCCTCCCCTGGGAGGTGCGGCCCCTCGTGGGTGTGAGTGACTGGGGATGGGGCACGTCGAGCCGATGCGTGGGGTGTGGGCGGGATGAAGATGAGACTGGAGGTGACTCGGGCAGGGCGGCAGTGAGTTAGTTGGGACTGGGGTGAGACGAGGGGAGTGAGTCGGAGGGGGGAGGGACGAACGGGCAACGAGGGGGCGGGGGAGGAGTGAGTGAGGGAAGGGGCAATGGGGGAGGCTGTGGGGAGTGACCCTTCATGCTGGGTTTCTGCTTAATGGCACCATCTGTCTCTTAAGGATTCCTGAGCAAATTAGCTCTGTTTATAGGTGAATAGATGTTTTTTCTCCCTGCCAGCTCCCTGAGCTTTTTCCTAGGGTCTGGAAGGCCCCCGGGTTTTCTGTGGTTAGTCAAGAATGCCAGAGATTCTGCAAACCACTGAGCTATCCCTCCCCCCTGCAGTCATTCAGGAGGCCTTGGTGGGCCAGAGAGCAATCCAGCCCATCATGCTGTGTTGACTGGACATGACTAATATAGTAATTGTAATAAACCTTTTTTTTGTCAGCCAAATAAACATGAGTGTCTCCAAATATGCATGGAGAACAGCTGGAGTAAGAAGGCAGTATTTTAACATACTGACTTATTTGCTACTATCTGGTTTTCTTTGGCTAGTTTTTTGTTCTGATCATAGTTATGGGCCCATCACTGGGTATGTCTACATTGCATATCTGAGCAAATTTTAACCCATCTAGCTCAGGTACTGGAGCAGTGAAGCTGCAGCAGCACAGGCTTCAGCATGGGATAGCTACCTGAGTAATTACCCAGAGTTCTGGATGGGCTTATCCAGCCTGCACTGAAGCCCAACCTGCTGTGACTTCACTTCCAGTACCCAAGCTAGGTAGGTTAAAGCTAGATCACCTGTTTCTACAGGAGCTATAGTCACACCCTGTGATGCAGTGTAGACATGCTCACTGTGTCCTGCTGATTCACCTGGGACTTCAGTGCAGACAAGACTTCATAGGAAGACTGTGAAAATGTTTTTCAGCATTATTAGTACCAGTTCAGCTCAACCATTAAGCAATCTTAGGAGACCTAATGTAGCTGGGCCATGAGTGCTGCTGTTTTAAGCACCATGTTAGGTCTGGTTTGAGCAGGGTCAGTTTAAATGTTGCTTAAAATGCAAGTAACCTGCCCACACTAGGGCTTTGCATGTTGCTGACGCTGGTTGAGATGAATGGTGGCATGTTTTGGAAAAGTTCTTGAATGTAGACACATCTGTTCATGTGCTTGGGGTGGGGATAAGGTAATTTGTTAGATCTGTCTGCATTCCCCAGCCCTCCCCATTTTCCATTCTCCCCTTGCTGTTCTGTTTTGTCATGCAGTTACTGGTAATTCTGAAGATGCTATTCTGTAATCAGCCAGTCTTTAGTCAGAGTCATTGTTAAAGATTAATTGACTTCATTTTAAAATGAACATAGACTTGTTAAAATCAGCTACTTTGGCTTTTAAAACACACCTGTTCTTACAAGTATTGCAGTTCTAACTCTAATTTATGAAGAATGCATTTTTAAAAATATAGGGCGTAGAGGACTGGTCTGTACTTGAAACACTACGTGGCACAGCTGCAGTGCTTCAGTGTAGACCAGGGGTGGGCAAACTACAACCTGGGGGCCCCATCTGGCCTTTCAGATGTTTTAATCTGGACCTCAAGCTCCTGCCGGGGAGCGGGATTGAGGGTTTGCCCTGCTCCCGTGTGTGCTGTGGCTCCTGGAAGTAGCAGCATGTCCCCAGTCCAGCTCCTAGGCATAGGGACAGCCATGGGGCTCCGCATGCTGCTCCCGCCCCAAGTGCCACCCTCGCAGCTCCCATTGACCAGGAACCCCAGAGCCCGCACCCCCAGCTGGAGACCTCCCCCCTCTCCCCCCGCAACCTCTACCCCAGCCTGGAGCCTCCTCTCTCACCCTGAACTCCTCATTTCTGTCCCCACCCAAGAGCCTGCACCCCCAGCAGGAGCCCTCCCTCCCACACCCCAACCCACTGCCTCAGCCCGGAGCTCCCTCCCACACTCCAACCCCCAATTTCGTGAGCATTCATGGCCTGTCATACAATTTCCATACCAAGATGTGGTCCTCGGGCCAAAAAGTTTGCCCACCCCTGGTGTAGACACTGCATATGGTGACAGGAGGGGTTCTCCCATCGACATAGGTAATTCACCTCCCAGAGGCAGTAGCTAGGATAGTGGAAGAATTCTTCTGTCGACCTAGTACTGTCTACACCGAGGAGCAACATAGCTGGGTCAATGTAATTTTTTACTGTAGACCAGGCCTAAGCCTTGCTACTAGGCAGAGTGCTGCAGAATGATTTAGGTCCTCTTTTGGTATGACTATGCTGCAATTAAAAACCTGTGGCTGGCCCATGCCAGCTGACTCAGGCTCAGGCTGTGGGGCTGTTTAATTGCAGTATAGATTTCTGGGCTTGGGCTGCAGCCCAGGCTCTGGGACCCTCTCACCTCGCAGGGTCCTAGAGCCCATGCTCCACCCCAAGCCTGGAAGTCTGCACTGCAATTAAACAGCCTCGCAGCCTGAGTCCCATGAGCCTGAGTCAGCTGGCAGAGGCCAAATGCAGGTGTCTAGTTGCAGTGTAGACAGACCCTTTGAGAATACAAGTGCTCCCACCTCTGTGTATGAACCAGGATAATTTAGAAGGTGCATGCCTGCCCATCATCAGTTTGCAAACAGCTAGAAGATGATAAGGTGATAAATAACAGTCAGCATGGATTTATCAAGAATAAATTGTGTCAAACCAACCTAGTAGCTTTCTTTGACACGGTAACAAGCCTTGTGGATGTGGGGAAGCAGTGGATGTGGTATATCTTGACTTTAGTAAGGCTTTCAAACTGTCTTGCATGATCTTGTCTTAAATCAACTAGGGAAATACAGCCTAGATGTCACTACTATAAAGTGGGTGCATAACTGGTTGGAAAAGTGTGGCAGAGAGTAGTTATCAAGTGATTCACAGTCAAGCTGGAAGGTCATATTGAGTGGGGTTCTGCAGGATCAGTTCTGGGTCCAGTTCTGTTCAATATCTTCATCAGCAATTTAGACAATGGCATAGAGAGTACACTTACTAAGTTTGTGGACAATACCAAGCTTGGAGGGGTTGCAAGTGCTTTGGAGGATAGGATTAAAATTCAAAATGATCTGGACAAACTGGAGAAATGGTCTGAAGTCAATAGGATGAAATTCAATAAGGACAAATGCAAAATACTCCACTTCATAGAATCATAGACTTTAAGGTCAGAAGGGACCATTATGATCATTTAGTCTGACCTCCTGCACAACGCAGGCTACAGAATCTCACCTACCCACTCCTGTATTAAACCTGTGTCTGAGCCATTGAAGTCCTCAAATCATGGTTTAAAGACTTCAAGGTGCAGAGAATCTTCCAGCAAGTAACCTGTGCCCCACGCTGCAGTGGAAGGCGAAAACCCCCCAGGGCCTCTGCCAATCTGCCCTGGAGGAAAATTCCTTCCCAACCCCAAATATGGCAATCAGCTAAACCCTGAACATGTGGGCAAGACTCACCAGCCAGACACCCAGGAAAGAATTCTCTGTAGTAACTCAGATCCCACCCCATCACAAGCCATTGGGCATATTTACCGCTAGTAGTCAAAGACCAATCTCATTATACCATCCCCTCCATAAGTTTATCAAGCTTAGTCTTGAAGCCAGATATGTCTTTTGCCCCCACTACTCCCCTTGGAATGCTGTTCCAGAACTTCACTCCTCTGATGGTTAGAAACCTTCATCTAATTTCAAGTCTAATCTTTCTGATGGCCAGTTTATATCCATTTGTTCTTGTGTCCACATTGGTAATGAGCTTAAATAATTCCTCTCCCTCTCTGGTATTTATTCCTCTGATATATTTGTAGAGAGCAATCAATTGCACACGTACAAAATGGGAAATGACTGCCTATGAAGGAGCACTGTGGAAAGGGATCTGGGGGTCATAATGGATCACAAGCTAAATATGAGTCAGCAACTGTAAGAATGTTGCAAAAAAAGGGAACATCATTCTGGAGTGTTGTAAGCAAGGCAGGAGAAGTACCGTAATTCTTCTGCTCTACTCTGTGCTTATTAGATCTCAGCTGGAGTATTGTGTCCAGTTCTGGATGCCACATTTCAGGAAAGATGTGGACAAATTGGAGAAAATCCAGAGAAGAGCAAAAAAAAAAAATGATTTAAGGTCTAGAAAACATGACCTATGAGGAAAGATTGAATAAATTGGGTTTGTTTAGTTTGGAGAAGAGAAGACTGAGAGGGGATATGATAACGTTTTCAAGTATGTAAAAGGTTGTTATGGGGGGGGGGGGATTATTCTCCTTAGCCTGTAAGGATAGGACAAGAAGCAATGGGTTTAAATTGCTGCAAGAGCGGTTTAGGTTGGACATTAGGAAAAACTTCTAACTGTCAGTGTGGTTAAGCACTGGAATAAATTGCATAGGGAGGTTGTGGAATCTCCATCGTTGGAGATTTTTAAGAGCAGGTTAGACAAACACCTGTCAGGGATGGTCTAGATAATACTTAGTCCTGCTATGTGTGCAGGGGACTGGATTAGATGAGCTGGAGGCCCCTTCCAGATCATCACTATCCTACATGTCTGACAGCTAAGCAACTTGTTAACTTTTGTATATTTTGTTCTTTAATGTTCTGCTATTTAATTCATGTTATCTGTAAACCCTTTCAGCCAACTGTTTCTTTGTAGCAATTAATAAATTTGGTAACTGGATAAATAGAACTCTGTCCTTATTACCTCGTGTCATAGGAACATAGTAAAGGGAGTATTGTAAAATTTTGTGTCTTTTATTTGAAAAAGCTGATCTTGCTTTTTGTCTTTTGGGGGTGTGGCATAGTTCTGGTTGAAGAAATAATTTAGTCTACATGTGCTTCAGTACCCATTGGAAGAATGACAGATGACAAAGATGTGCTTCGAGATGTGTGGTTTGGACGAATACCAACCTGCTTCACGCTGTATCAGGATGAGATAACTGAAAGGGAAGCTGAACCTTATTATGTAAGTACAATGAAGATAGGCAGGGATAGTCCAATCACATCTGGGGTTTTTTCAGGCTCTTTGGTTTTGATGCTTCTGGGGGGAATGTTTTTGTGTGTGTGTGTGTGTGTGTGTTGTTTTTAAATGCAAGCAAGAGTGGGTGTTCTAGTATAAATGTTGACTAGGTGGCTGCTGGTGTTCTTATCAGTATTCCACCTAGACTTGATCCAAGGAGAGTTAGATGACATAGTGAGTTTAAAAAAGAAAGGGGTGTCTGGCTTGTGCTAAAGCTCTCACCATTATTACCATTCATGAAACTGTAATAATGAGAGTGCTTTAAAAGGTGTAGGCAGGGCTTTTCACTTGAACCTCAAATTAACTGTGTTGCATTCCTGAGTATGGTGATGTCCAGTGTGTGCAATGAATGCCTTTAAATGTATGTGAATAAGGTTGCTGGTTTCATTGGAAAATAATGGATGTGTCCTAAGAAGTGTTACCCTATTAGGAGTAGACAGAACATATTTATGAGCTCTGGTCAAGTGTAGGTAGTCTCTTGGTCTATCCAAGGCCGTGATCAAGTGTCTTGATGTTTTTGGTCTCGAGATGAAAATCTTGTCTTTGTTTTTGGGACCTTGAAGTGAAAACATTTATTTAGACTAAGGGCTAGTCTACACTACTGCAGTACATCGGTGCAACTGAGCCGCTGTGGCACGTCTGGTGAAGATGCACTATGCCAACGGGAGAGCGCTCTTCTGTCGGCATAATTACTTCACCTCAACAAGAGGCGGAAACTATATCAGCAGGAGAATGTTTCCTTTCCAACTGGTGTGGACAGCGCTTAGGTTGGTGTAACTCGCGTAGTTCGGGGGGCGAGGGGTGACTTTTTCACACCCCTAAGCGATGTAAGTTATATTGACTTATGTGATAGTGTAGACAAGCCCTTAGTATGTAAACAGTAATAGTTTTGTTCTAACTTTACTGAATTTCTGTAAAAAGATGCTCAGGAAGTAGACTTGGGATTGGAACAGGGGGATGGAGAGAAGAAAAAGAAAGGTGAAGAATTTAGTTATTGTAGTTTTGGACTTGAGAATGCATTCTGTCATATTCTGAGTACTTAATATTCATGGATTTAAGGCCCGTGTACTTAAGGGAAAGTATTCCCCTCCAGCTGTCAGAGCTCACTATATCTGGTAGTAGTTTTAGACGTTTATCTTTTTTACATAGTTTAATGAGAGAAGCTTCTATTGTCACTTAATGTGCTTTTTTTCTATTTCAGTTTTGTTTAGTTACTTTTGTTGTCCAAGGCAAGCATATATATTTTTATATTCCAGAAGTTTCTCTAGCAGTTTTGCTCAACCCCAACAGCCCTTATAGGAGGCCTTATGTAACAATTCTTCTGACTTTCTTCAGATGGAAGAGTGTAATAAATATAGTCTAGACTGATGGACTAAAGGCTAGAAAGTAGTTAAATGTATCTTTTAAATGTTTTTCTATGTTTTTCATCACAGCTATCCTCTCTGTATTGTAGTGTCAGTATTTGAAGAAAGGAAAATATTGGGCTAAAACTTTTTTTTGTACTGTTCTTTGGATTATTTGCGTGTACATGACCTGATAAAATATCTAAATTTTTAGACTAAATGTGGACAGCTGTAGGAGGGATGAGAAACATGACAGAATGAACTAGCGATATCTTTATGCACCTTATAAAGCTGATTTAATATACTTTGTATTCACTGGAATGAATAATTTTAAGTCTAGGGTAGGAAAATGGTAAAATTAGGATCTCTAGTCTCTTGCTAAGTAGGGAAAAGTGATGATCTTCCATAGAGCAGGGGGACACACAGGGGGACAGGGCTCAGGATGGGATGAGCTTTCTGGCAGCAGCTGCTGTCTCAACTTGCTGATCTATTTAAAAAGGCAGTGTACTTAGAGTAGGGTCAGCATACTTAAAGGGGCAATGCACACGTCTCTCTCACACTCACGGTGTGTGTCTCTGTCTCTGCCTGCCATGCTGTCTCCCCCCCCTCCATTCGTGTCGCCTTGTAGAGTGTGAGGCTACATTAACAACAGTCAGTTAACTCTTGAGGGCTCAGACGAGTGCTAGTTCATCATTTAGCAGTAAGGCATTCCCTGGGAAGTATCCCACCCTCTGACTCCACCACCTCAACCAAGCTTCACAATCATCATCGCTGTGTATCAGTATTAAATTGTTTGTTTAAATTTATTCTGTGTGTGTGTGTGTGTGTGTGTATATATATATATATATATATATATATATATATATATA